TTCATGGAGATTATGTGGCAGAATCGTTTTATTTTTATGGATTAAACAAACAAGGAATAACAAATTAATATGACGGTTTTTTGATGTATGGATTTTGTGAACTCTGGACAAAGTTATATATCATTTAGTGTGAATAATATAGCCTTCGTAAGCAGTTCAGACAACACACATACTGAACGTGACTCAGAGGGTTGGGAAAGGTTTTTGCAAGCTGTTCCAGGGAATAAAAAAGAGGAGGAAGTGGATATGGTAATCAAATATAGATATTATCATAACTACAGTATCAGCCAGTCTCATGTATTGTTCTACTTTTCGACTTCTTGTTCTGCTGCAGTGTGTTGTAAATCCGAGGGCAGGAAAACCCTCTCAACTGTTGTGTATTGTGTCACTGCTTCCTATCCCTGTTGTTGTCAATAAGCCGAATGACTTCCTCCTCCACATCCCCTCAACTGCTTCAGTCTGCTTACCCTGCAGATCGTTTGGCATCTGTGGTTCTGCATAAATATTTTGCATCAATGGCTGTATTGTACTGACAGGGAGGTAGTGAGGGAGGAGGAGAAAGCCTCCAGCGGTGCTTGTGCTATTGTTTTTTCTTCTCTTCTGAGATCTCAGGCGGTGCGGCGACAACGTGGTCCACCTCTGGGCTCGGCTCCACCCATCCTGCTCTTAACGTGCTGCCCCTCTCTCACGACGCATCATCCTGTCCTACTTCTCTCCTCCTCTGTCGCCGGCCACTCTTTGTCTTGTCATTGTGCTTTTTCTGTCTGTGTGCTCTCTCTAGCTCTCTCTATCGCTCTCCAATACTCACGCTGTTTGTGCTCTCCTCTCCCCTTCAGCTATCTCCTCTTTCTCCTCATTCTACTTCTTCTTCTTCTCCGTGTCAGTGTGTGTCAACCCAGTGTGTGCCTGACCTTCTTTCTCTTTTGTCCAGCACCTAGCGTATACATTCTCTCATTTCTCTTCAACCTTCTTTATATCTCCCTCATGAGGACTCTGCACCGGCTGAAGTTGATGAGCTCCCCCAGCCTGAGCGAACTGGGCAAGAGTGAGAAAAGTTCACCGGAGGACAGAGGGGAGAAGCAGAAGAGGGCAGGCGCCAACGCCACCTGGAACAGGTACGACGAATAACATGCAGGAAGGGCTGTGTTTAAATACTCGTGGGACAGTGATGTAGAACGAGTTCATGTGTGTCTCTGATGTTACAGCATCCACAACGCCGTCATCGCCGTCTTCCAGAAGAAAGGTTTGGCAGATAATGAACTCTATGTCCTCAACGAAGGCGTCCGGTGAGTTTAATCATAGAAAAAGACGCGTACAGAGCACAGGGAAAACGTATCCTTATTTTAGACTGTCGATGTCATTCTGTGCTATAATTAGTTTAATTAATGTCCTGTCTTATGCTGACTGAATGATTTCTTGTGAATGAGGTTGTTTTGTGTTTGTGGGTGTGTGTGTGTGGGCCTTGGGAGTCATGTGGTCCAGCCAGATATCTCATTATCTTACCAAACCAGATCCGTCCCTCCTATCACACCAGCCTCCGTTATAGCTCAGTAAACACATTTCCATGTACAGAAAAGCCACAAACGGATTCACACACACATTTCTTAAACTACACAGCCAACTCTGGGTTCTAACGCAGGGTAACATGGTGTTTAGTAGATCGCTATCAGTCAACTCGGTCAGTAAACTGCAGGTTATGAACACGTACACACACATTGTTACTGACAGCATGTATTAATTGTTTTATTTTTCTCAGGCATCTGTTGAAGACTGAGCTGGGGTCCTTCTTTACTGAATACCTTCAGGTAACTCGACCCTGATTTTAAATTTCAACTTTATTCACATGCATGAAACTCACTGGTAAATTTAACAGGAATATTTATAATAGAGAGCACACTCACCAGTGACCTCAGATAATCATTGTTTTCCTTTCACAGAACCAGCTGCTGACTAAAGGCATGGTCATCCTTCGGGACAAAATAAGGTTCTACGAAGGTACGGCTGCTTTAATACGTCGTCTGGAAATATATTGTAGTGAACGAAGCCTAAATGAACTGTCTTTTTGGCTTCTTGTTTAATCGATGCAGGTCAGAAGTTACTCGACTCTCTGGCAGAGACGTGGGACTTCTTCTTCTGTGACGTCCTCTCCATGCTGCAGGCCATTTTTCATCCGGTGCAGGTAAACAAACGTCTTCAGACAGACTCTGCTTGTTTCGGTCAATGTTTGATGCCCAAAGCGTAAGTTTGAAACAGTTCTGATGTTTTCCGTGTGTAGGGTAAGGAGCCCTCAGTCCGACAGCTGGCTCTGCTTCACTTCAGGAACACCATCGTCTTAAGTGTAAAGTTAGAGGACGCCCTGTCTCGACCCCGGGCCCGAGTTCCCCCCTCTGTTACACAGATGCTGCTTATTCTACAGGTACAGACCTGGAGGCACCCACTTCACTGCTTCTGTCCTCTCTCACTGTTTGGATGTTTCTGTTTTTAATAATCATGGTAATAATGTTAATAATAATAATACATTTTATTAATACATCACGTTTTAACAGGACATTTCACATGGGTTAAAAAAACTGAGAAACCAAGGACAAGCAAATAACTAAAAATGGAAAATACACGTCATAAGAGTGTGTGTGAGTCAGACAATAATTACCTGCTGCTCCACCACTTTGGTTAAAGGTTACCACAAGATCACTGCATACAAGTTGTGATTCTGATTCAGAGCCCATAGTGGCCTTATAATTTATTTAATTCCTATTGTTGTTATTATGTTTGATTATTGAAAAATTAGTGCGTGATCAACATTCAGAAAAGTACAAATAACACTTGTACGAGAAAAATGCATCACATGTTCACATTCTGCTGCCATATTGAAATATTTGGTATTTTTACTTTTTTCTAATGGACATGAGCACTAAGGGACAGCTTTAGTTGATGCTCAATTGACTGTGTTTGTTTACAGGGGGTCCATGAGTCTCGTGGTGTGAATGAGGAATACCTGAGGCTGGAGTCTCTGGTCCAGAAGGTGGTCTCACCGTACCTGGGCACCCACGGTCTTTACTCAGGAGACGGAGAAGAGGCCAACTGCTGTGTTCTTGGTGAGACAGTGTGGACATAACCCCAAAAGCAAAGTATTGACACAGAGAAACGTTTCTTAATTAACACTGTTCCTTCTTTTCCTCTGGTCTTTTAGAGAAGCGTTTACCCTGGGGCTGGCCCAAGACTGCAGATCAACCATCTAAAAACCCTGTGGTACGATCCAAGAGCTACAACATCCCTCTGCTGCTGACCCCGGTGGCTGAGTATGACCCAGATGCCAGCTCTGTTGGCAGTGGAGGAATTCGACGCCACTCGGCCTGTGAGATTATATCATGCTTGGAGGAACAAGGACTGACCTACACTGACCTGGCCCCAGGATCTGAACTGTCTGGCCCCTCCTCCAACAGGCTGTGTGTGGGCTCTCAGTTCAATGGTACGACACAAGACTAAGACATATCCATCACTATGTTGTTTATTATGTAAAAAGAATAATCATAATGTTCTGTAATAATCTGCTGTCATTCACAGGTATTGTACAAGCAGGAGCCAGTGGCATGGACTTGCCTCTCTCGTCTCCCTCCATTCATCCCTTCCACTCCTCAGGAGCTCTCCATGGCACTGAGGCCACAACAACAATGACTGATCTCAGTAGGGGTGCATCCTGCTCGCCGCCCAGTGAATCATCCAGCCCCGAAACCATAATTGGACAAGTGCTCGAGTCTGCAGACTCAGACTCAGATGGGATATTTATCGATTTCCCTTCTCACTCATCAGAAGCTATGGGGTACACTCGCGAAGGCAGGCAGAGCACTGTGTAGCTGTGGTCGCCTTTAGGAACGCACGCGGTACACACATCAATAACCTGGGACAAAGATAAAAGAAAACTACACTTCATTAAATGGGTACCATCTTCCTTATTTACTGTTGTATGGTGGGTTTCCATGACAACTTAATTCAAAGTGGTGTGTGACAACCTTGTAATTCTACAATGAAATTGTTTTAAAAACTATGAAAAACACGACACAATACTACATGAAAACTGCAGTGTCCGGCCCTATTAGTAACTCATTTAGCCTTTTTATTTATTGGACATATTTTGGGTATTTCGCCTTTATTGACAGGACAATTCAGGTGTGAAATGGGGAGAGAGAGCAGGGAAGTCCATCAGCAAAGAGCCAAGTCAGAACCAAACCTGCGGTCACTGCAGGACGACTCAAGCTGCCTAGTGGCAAAAAAACAGAACTACTGTAAGATTAGGAAAGGTAACTTGTTGAGTAAATATAATATATATAGAAGATGTAACAAATATTTACATCTTCCATAGAAACAAATTGGCTTTGACAAGGAAACTTTCATTGGATATTGTGACAAAAATATAAAACTAAACTTTCGATTATTATCATATCCTGTAAATGTAGAGAGGGGCACCTTATCCTTCAAATGGTAAATTGACAGTATTTATATTGTGCTTTTCTAGTCTTATTCGCCTCTCAAAGCTTTATACCACCAGTCACTTTTACCCATTCACACGCACATTTGTAAAGCAGTTTTATGTGCCTTGCTTTATCACACACATAAACTCCCTTAGGGTTCACATCGACGAGAGGAGGTTCGAACCACCAACCCTCTGATCAGTGGACTACCCACTCTACATCCTGAATATAAACAAAAAAAACAATCAAAGTGGGAGTTACATGGTTTTCACTCATCTTTTCTGAGGACATTTTACAGCTTCCATTTAAATGGAAAATGTCTGAAACTTTTATCACGAGTTTGTTTTGAAGGGAACACAGTGATGACATCTCACTTTTGTACGGCACCTTCTGAAAATGTTGAATTGTTTTTGTATTGTCAGCCGCACTCAAAAGAGGTCTAATGCAAAATTCTCTTCTTAGAACATCAGTGTGACAGCATTTGCTTTTCTGTATTAGCTGTGTGCAGCAGGAGTTTGAGAAATATGCCGATGTTTATTGTTTACAATCGACAAAGACATGAATATTTTGACTGAATGTTGTCTCACACTGTATTTTGCACCACCACTACCCTGTAAATAAAATTGCATCATTGGTTTTTAGGACAGCTAATTAGTGTAAAGTGAGCTTTTACCTTGAATTTTAATAAGGGATTTTTAACTGAATCTTTTTCAAATGATGTTTTACCTCAAGCGTTTTGTACTTTACTTTTTTGACAATCTATGATGTCTACGGAGTTGTACTTTGTATTAATTTGTTATACTAGCCCAGTAAAAAAAATAAATACATTTTAGTAATGTTTAAAAGCAGAGTTATCTCCTTCTATTGTAAATAGCTGATTTACTGGAAACAGACTATTTGTCCTGAGTGATGTTGTCATGTGTGTGAAAAGGGTATGACGCTGCACTCGTCGGTCTTCATGAAGAGAGGAGGCACTTAGGTTTTTTAACTTAGTGATGCTTCGTTAAACCACCTAAAGTCAAAGCCACAGCCAGGCTTTTAAAAATATTGAGGTCATGAGTCTTAAGTCCCCCAATGGAAAGCCCACCCCCTCCTCAGCTCAGGAAACTTTGACCAGACACCACCGAGTGTTGGGATTTATCCTATTTACCTCCACCTTCATCTGTGTTATTTTGTCTGTTAGTTTGCCACGTTACACAAAGACTACTGGACTGATTACCACGAAACTTACAGAACAGGTCCGGGGAAGATACCGTTACATTTTGCTGTGGCAAGACAGGCCGCTCTTCAACATTTACGTTTATTCCTCAGAGAAGAATACACAGATCTTGATGAAAAGAAATCAGGCACGGACATTAATGTGTATGTGACATTTGGTGCAGATCTGGATCTAGTGAATTTATAATAAGTGGACTGTTGGGCCTGGGTGTAGTTATATGCTTTACTGAGTGCCATGCTAGTGTAAATGGTAAATGAACCATATTTATTTTGCTCTTCTCCAGCCTTATCTGTCACTCAAAGCGCTTCATAGTGCAAATCACATCAACCCATTTATGCACACTTTCATGCAGTACTTCTATATACAGCACTTTTTCTATCACACACATTCACGTGACTTTGGAAAGCAGATGATGAGCTGGGGATCGAACCACCAACTGGTGAGTGGACGACCCACTCTATCACCTCAGCCACAGTCATAAAAACAAAAAAACAAAACACTATGCAGTGTTTGATATATAAAGTCACATCAGACTGACCTTGGAAAATAGCAAATTCCCAACTCTTAACCTTGAATTAAAGAATATTATTATTATTATTATCATTGTTGTAGTAGTAGCAGTAGTAGTAATAACTTTAAAAAATAATAATAATAATAGTACAAATGATTAAAAAAGCGTGCTTTTAGTTTGAAGACACCAAACGGAAGTGTGTCAATAGCTGAAGCTAAAGCTAACTGCTGTGTTCTCGTATCGTTTGTTTTCCCCGCTGCTGACGCTTCTCTCTGTGTCGTAGAGTTGGTTTTTTGAACTTCGGCTGTGAGGAAACGTCCTGGTGAACGAGGTGAGACTTTTAAAATGGTGTTTTTATTCGTGTTTCGTAGTTAGTTGGAGCTTGCTAGCTGCTAACAGACAGTAGCCTCAGCCCTGCACTAATGCTAAGTGGAAAACATAAACTGTAGAGGGGGTGCTGTTGATGTGAGACCACATGTGAGTGTTATTCTCTGCTCCTCATCTGCTCCTCATGTGCTCCTCACATCCATCGGAGGGTAATGTTTGTGTTCGTGTGTTTTCAGGTGTGTCACCTTGGCTGTGGTCCTCTCTCCAGTCTCTCGGGTGGTGGGTGACACTGGCTCTCTGCCAGTCCTCTGTCGATGAAGATGTCCCTGGCCCAGCGGGTGCTCCTCTCCTGGATCTTTGCCCTCTTCTTCCTCATCATGCTGGTCCTCAAGCTGGACTCCAAGATCCACTGGAACTGGTTCCTGATCTTCCTCCCCATCTGGACCTTTGACACCATCCTCATCCTCATGCTGATCGTGAAGATGGCAGGACGCTGCAAGCCAGACTTTGACCCCAGAGACGGCGAGCAGAGCCTGAAGAGGAGGCTGTGGTACCTGACAGCCCTGCTGCTGAAGCTGGCCTTCTGCCTGACACTATGCTCCCACCTAGAGAGGCTGGCTGACATGTGGGTCAGCGTGGTGTGTGTCCCCCTCTGGGTGCTGCTGGGTGGGGCGCTGGTGGAGCTGGGACACAGTGTTTTCCACTACAGGAGGGACTGAATCAGAGAACCCTACAATACTTGATTCTGAACATGACAGAAACGTTTTACTCTCAGGCTTCTCGAGCTATGGATGCACCAATCTGATCTGCTGGATTGGTATCAGAGCGGACGCAGACCTTATCAAGCACATTGTGTCTCAGGCTGAAATGACAGATCCACTTAAAATGCTGTTTATTTCTCAATGTCATTATAAAATTTGATGTTTCTGCCTCGAGCTCAGCACGTTACAGCAGGTTCCAAACTCAAGAGGCTCCAAAGAGTTCTACACACTGATGTACAGGTTTTAAATCCGATAAGCGCAGAGCATGACATTGTTTTGACGTTCACATTACTTCCTTCTGGCTTTTCAACAGTAGAAACAGAAATCGTGACAAAACAAAATGTTGGTCTACAATTCACCTCTCCACTTTTTTGGTGGAGGGTGCACACATACTGGACACAAATACAGCCACGGTAATACCAGGGCCACATTGATGGTATAAAATTACTCACTGCTCTAGCATGCACTGTGTTCCACTGAACCATGTAATATGTTGCTGTTTATGGAATCACTGTTGCATCTCTGTGTATTTCTGTACAGCAGTTAGAAATCTCACAACTTCCATGTGATGAATTTGTCAGTGCATCCCAGACTGTCCCTCTGCCACTGAAACAATTCACTTTGAATGTAATCCAGAACATTCTCTGGATATATGAATTAAGTCCTTTGCACTGTGCAGATAAAGAATTGTAGTTTACATCCTTGTGAATGCAAAATATAATTCTGTAATACATTTAATACAATTTCTGATGGCTGTAAGGCCATGCTCAGTATTAACTGTTGTCAAGCTTGAGTTTCAATTCATCCTGTCAGTTATATTGCGTTTATCTGGCAGATTCTTGTCGAAGATGAGTTAAGATATCCAGTTCCATCTCTGTGCTGCTTAGCTGTGGTCGGCCTTTTATTGGTAAAACCTGTGCTTTTCTAATGCGATAAAGGTTTGTTCCAACATGACATCCTATTTTGAACATTTTAACATCCTCATTTAGCATATTAGCACCTATTCTAGCATTTAAGTCAAAGTTCCTATGAGGCTGATGGGAATTTATCCGTATATCCTGACGTGATGAAAAAATGGACTAACAGAGCCATTGTTTTTTCAATGTGTTGTTGAAAAACACATGTTCATCTCCAAACTGCAAACGTGGATAGAAAGATAAATACTGAAACCTGGAGGATATGAAAGGCAGGAGAGACATTAACATCGACTACATCCTTATTTAGAACCATTTATTGAGAGGTTCTGATCAGAGTATAAATCACACTACCAAGTCTTATCTTAGGAAATAAAATGTATTTACAACAAAATTTTCACATACATTGGTTTCAA